AGATAATTATGGTTAATTAAAATAAAATAAAAATTATAAAAATTACTTAATTACATTATTGTCCTTATTAAATTATTTATATATAATAAAAGTTAATTTAATAATTAAAAAAGTTTGAGGTTATTGGGTTGTTCTCGCATTCTCGTAAATCACAGGGGTTCTCGTTTGAACCTCCACCTATATATATATATATATATATAGACGAGGGATCGTATAAGGAGAGTTAAGCTGAGAAGCTTAAAATGGGATCTGGACCCTTGATCATTTTTAATTTCAAACCCACTCACGAATCACACTTGTCACGGGGATTGATCCGGTGCATCTCATCCTAATGTGTATTCAAGAATGAAGATCTTTTTTTACACTTTTCATCATAACTCTCATTCTCACTAAAATCCAAGTGTATATATGTATATATATATATATACACACACATACATATATAGAGTCAGATACGAGAACAATAACTAAATAATAGAATAAGATAAAGGGTTGCATCACATGTGATTTTATGCGTGTTTTTAATGTAAAATCACATGTGATCCATGCGACTTTGACCGTGACCTGAGGTTGCCCATACACCCTTTTTGGCAACCATTAGTGTAAAATCACAGGTGATTTTTGCATATGATTTGGCTGTTTTTCGTATTCTTTTATTTAGTTGTTCTTGTTTGAACCTCCTTCCCCATATATAGAATGGTAATCAAATGAGAACTACAAAAAAATTGAGAACCGTGAGAATTGATCTAAGCCCTAATTTGATTTTGATCGTATGGTTTTAATTTAAATCCGTTTTTAAATAGAAAATGACATAATCGTCATTTTGAAAACACAGATTCACCAGATTAAACACAAAGCACACATATTCACTAGATGAAACACAAAACATACATATTCACCGGATGAAACACAACACATATATTCACCAAATGAAAAACACAGATTCACAAGATGAAACACACAAATTGATCAAATGAAAGACACAAATTTACCAAATGAAACACAGATTCACCAAATGAAACAATGACTAAATTTTGATTTCATAATCCGAGTGCAAATGGAAACATAATTTCTTTTTTGATAATAAAAAACTCAAAGTTTTTGATTTCAGAAATCATTTAATTTCTTAAGTTTCTCTTAAACGATTTATCTTCCATGATTGTATCTCTCGATCGAAATCCAAGCTGATAAGTTCCATTACTTGCATCATCAGTAACGTTCATCATGCTGAATCTACGGCAACCATCGAGTAAATCACCGGTAGAATTCATCATCATGAGTTCCATCGTCGCCGACGATTCTCATTCACCACCAGCTGATGTTCATCAATCATCAGTATTTATTCACGATGACAAGAATGATGAAAAAGAAGGATTGATCTGGACAAAGGGAATATTG